GTCAAGCTGGTTTTCTTTCATTAAGGACTTAGTGTATCTTTGACATACATGTGTTGATTATATTTTTAGGAAAGTTAAGGTTTAAAATTTTATGTATAAGTTCAGCCCCTTTCTCATTTTTAGAATTATGCCTTTAACTTTTTTTAAATTATACCTTGAAAAGTGGTTTTATTCCAAAAACGTTTTGTATAAAAATGTGTTTTTCTTTTTGTTTTTGTGAGAAAATACATTTTGAGATTCAGTCTTAAAATTAATTTTTATGAAATGTATTAGTGGACTGATATTCTTAAAATGTTCTTTAGCATATGACAGTTTAGTCTTTAATATAAAATATGTGTAATCTCAGACTTCGAACTATGAATCTTAGGGAAATACCATAATTTTTCACATGGTGAATACATCATATGGTTTGTTTTTGTTCTTTTGACATAAGGAATCCCTGGCAAAATATTAATTCTCCCTAGCTTTTCCTTATATTCTGCATCCTGAACTCATCTTTAATTTTAATTTGAGTAGAACCAATATTTTAATGAATTTTAGCATGTAAATTTCTGCCAAATAAAAAGGCAGATGGCATTTTCATAGGGCTTGTGTTGAATCTGTTGATCAGTCTGGGAAATATTGCTGTTTTAACAATATTAACTTTTCCAGTAGAAAGAATATGGGATGTCTTCTTATTTAAGTATTCTTTAGTTTCTTTCCGTGATGTTTTATAGTTTCAGTTTATAAGTATTGCACATCTTTTGTTCCTGGGGTTGTTTTTTGGGGGGTAGAGGGTGGGTGTAGCTACTTTAAATAGGTTTCTTTTATATTTCTTTCTGGGATTTGCATTGCTAAGTGTGTAGAAATAATCTCTTTTAAGTATATGGATCTTGTATCCTGTACCTTGCTGAACTAGTTTCTAATAGGGTTTTTTGCATGTGTATGTGTGGGATTCTTCAGGGTTTTCTATATGCAAGATAATGTCATTTGTAAATGGAGATTATGTCATTTGCAAATAGAAATTTGCTTCTTCCTTTCCAGTCTGGGTACATTGTATCTTTTTTTTCCTATCTAATTTTCCTTGCTAAAATTTACAATACAGTGTTGAACAAAAGTGAAGGGAGAGGACATCTTTGTTTTTGAGTCTCAAGGGGACTGTATGTGGTTGTTCACCATAAAGCATGATGTTAAATTTGGGTTTTCATAGATGGTCTTAGTCATGTTGGGAAAAGTTTACTTCTATTTCTAATTTGTTTGATTTTTTTCAAATACTTTTCTTAGCCTGTTAGGATGATGGAGTGGCTTTTGTTGCTTATTCTGTTAATATGATATATTACCCCGATTGATTTTCAGATAGTAAATCAACTTTGTATTCCTGGATAAATTCAATTTGCCTGTGGTATATAGTACTGTTTGTTGCTGGATTCAGTTTACTAATATTTCACTGAGAATTTTGTATTACGGTCATAATAGTGTTGTAGATGATCGGCAGGTAAATACACACTCTCGGAGTCCAGAACCGAATTGATAAAAATTTTAATGGCCAAAGATTTTCCTGCGCAGGGGCGAACTTCCCCAACTGTGACCGGAGTCAAGTAGCTACTCAGAGCTACAAAATGGAAGTCGCGCCTGGCTTACAGACTACTGGGTATTTATATTTTCTAGCAAGCAAGCAAAGGCATACAGAAGCAGAGGTGGCGGTTAGCTATTGGCTTATTTAAAAACGGCGAGGGTCCCTGATTGGTGGGTGCTGCTGCTGGCGGGCACTTTCTGGTGGGCCCGGGTTAGTTACCTTATTTGGCTAGAATTTTAAACCCAATTGTTCCCGGATGTTTGTTCATTACCCTGTTCCAGGAACTGCAGATTTAGGGTTGGGTAATGCCCTAGCTGTAATTTTCCTAGCTGGGTATAACAATAGTCATAAGAGATACTGGTCTATAGTGCTCATGTGATGTCCTTGTCCAGTTTGCTAATACTGTCATCATTGAGTTAGACATTGTTTCCTTCTATTTTTTGGAAGAGTTGGTAAAGGATTGGTGTTAATTTTTCTGAAAATGGGGGAACTTACTAGTGAAGCCATTTGAACCTGGATTTTTATTTGTGAGAAATTTGTTTGTATATCTATTCAGATTTTCTTTGCCTTGAGTCAATTTTGGTAGTTTGTGTCTTACTAGGAACCTGTCTATTTCATCTAATTTATCTAATTTGTTGGCATACAGTTTATATTTTAGTCCTTTATAATTTATTTCTGTAAGGTCAGTAGAAGTGTGTCCTTTTTCATATCTGATGTCAGTAACTTGAGTTGTCTTTTCTTTCTTGGTCAGTCTAAGGGTTTGTAATTTTTGTAATCTTTTCAAAGAACCAAATTTTGCTTTTTGTTGATTTTCTGATGTCTTTCAGTTCTCTATTTTATCTTCATTCTGATATTGATTTTCTTCTGCTCTTTAAAAAAAGTGTAGTTCACTCTTTCCTAGTTCTTTAAGCTATAAATTTAGGTTACTGGTTTGATATTTTCTTTTTCAATGTAGGTATTTGAGAGTTATGTATTTCCCTTCTGAGCTCTGCTGTCACTGTATTTTGCAAGTTTTGGTATATACTGTTCATTTTAATTTGTCTCAGAGTGTTTTCTAAATTCTCCTGTGATTTCTTCTTTGACCAACTTGTTTAAAAGTCTGTGTTTTAATTTCTGCATATACGTGAATTTTCTAGTTTTCTTTTTTATTGGTTTATAGTTTCACTCCATTGTGATTATAAATGCTACTTTGTATGATTTTAGTCTTTTTAAATTTTTAACCCATCATTGTAGGTGCCAATTCAACACCCAACAGAAATTGATCTGCGGTGAAGAAAAATTTATCCAGTGCAAAACAGCTTAATGGTGATGTGGCATGGCTGTGAAAACAGCACTGCTCTGAGACAGCCCTGGGGCCAGGTCCCTCTCCAGCTAGGTGGCTTTATTCTGCTGTGGTGTGGTCTGCTCTGTTCCAATGAGATCTCTTCCAGTTGTTCAGCTCTAGCTGTGAAACAGTCTTTCAGCCTTCAGTGGAAAGGGAAAAATTGCTCCTCAACCCAGAGGGGATCTAGCATATATAGACAGAAGTCCGTAACCCTGCTCCATGATTGGCCCTTCCTCATGCAAATGAGGACGCCAAGTCCTCTAAAAGGCACTGTCCTGATTGGTCAGAGCTGCATTGCTCCAATTTGATGGGAAAGCCTCAGTCTTCTTGGTTGAAATCGGATTCCAGGAACTCCTTCATAGGGCTGGCTCAGGCAGCAGAATCAGAGTGCAGGAAGGCAGTTCAGTGCAGGCTTCTCTGTGAGGTGCAGTCTGTGTGAAATGCTCCTGTATAGAAATAGCTGGGCTCTTTTTTGTTGTTGTTGGGTTTTTTGTTTGAACCCAGTCAGCCACCAAAAGCCCCTTTTAGTTGGTATCTTTTTTCTGAGATACCTGGCATACTCAAAATGTCTAAATCAATAAAGTTATTGGTGAAAATGGAAAACGTGTCTTTTATCTTACAGAAAAAAATATACAGGCTTTTGCCCAACCTAGTAATTAACATCTTGGCATAAAACAATGTATTTCAGATTAATGCCAACTTAGTTCTAATGGTATATAAATCTTCACTCAAACACAGTTCCATTCCCTTTTCCCTCCCATTATTGTCCTACAAATTACACCTTTTATTATTTTTATTTTTTTTAAGATTTTATTTATTTATCTTTAGAGGGGAAAGGAAGGAGATAGGGAGAGAAATATCAATGTGTGGTTGCCTATCATGTGTCCCCTGCTGGGAACTGGCCTGCAACCCAGGCATGTGCCCTGACTGGGAATCGAACTGTGATACTCTGGTTCGCAGGCCTGCACTCAATCTACTGAGCTACACCAGCCAGGGCTCAAATTACACCTTTTATGTGTTGTAATTCCATCAACACAATTTTATAATTATTACTTTATGCACTTTATTACTCATATTACTTTTAAATAAGAAAAGAAAAAGAGCTACAAACAAAATCTATTTATTTATTTAGCTATGTTTATTGGTATTATTTCTTCATGTAGCTTTCATATGGATTTGTTACTAATTGTCCTTTCATTTCACTTGAAGGAAACCCATTAGTATTTATTGTAGGTCAGATCTGCTAGCATTGAATTCTCTTAGTCTTTGTTTATCATTATCTTTGAAGGTCTTTGTTTATCATTATCTTTGAAGGATAGTTTTGCTACATGCAGAATTCCTTGTTGACATTTTTTACAATACTGTCAGCATTCTGGATGTTATATTACTGTGTCCTAGCCTCAATGGTTTCTGCTGAGAAATTAGTTGACAGTCTTACTTAGGATCCCTTGTATATCAGGAGTCCCTTCTCTCTTGCTGCTTTGAAGATTATCTCTTTGTCTTCTACCAGTTGACTATGATGTAGCTAGGCATGGATCTCTTTGATTTTTATCCTTGTTGGTGTTCATTCAGATTCTTGTATGTGAAGGTTAATGTTTTTCATCAAAGTAAGGAAGTTTGGGGCCATTATTTCTACATATACTCTTTCTGGCTCTTTCCTCTTTTTCTTGGATTGTCAATATGCATATATTGGAATTCTTGTTTACTCACAGCTCTCTGAATCTCTGTTCATCTTTTTTTTCATTCTTTTTTGTTTCTGTTCTACAGTCTGGATTATCTCAATGACTTGTCTTCAAGGTCACCAGTTTTTTTCTTCCTGCTTAGTCTGTTCAGGCTTCTTTATCAAAACACAGCAGACTGGATGGCCTGTAAACAACAGAACATTTTTGAAAAGTTATTTAAAAATAACTTTTATTTACTGACAGAAAGGCTGAAACTGTTGTATGCTGATTTGAATTGCTATTTTGTAAAATAAATGACTTGAAAATGCCCTTTTTGATATCTTCCTGTTGTTGGATTCCATTATGCATGCTTTGTTCTTTTATTAGACCTGGAAAACTATAGAATACTTTTTCAACAAGTGGTTTATTCCTCCCTTTTCCATGTTTAGAAATTCTTATGATCCCTCAGGCAGTTCCTTCTGGAACAGACTTTCCTCTTCTCCCTCAGCCAGTCCCAGTGGGCTCCTCTCTACAGGCTCTGGAACTAAGACAGCAGGAAAGACATGTAAAAGTTCCTTCAATGGGAATAAATTTATTTCTCACAGTTCCGGAGACTGAAGTTCAAAATCACGGTGCCAGCATGGTCAGATGAGAGGTCTCTTCTAGGTCACAGACTTCTCATCATATCCTCACATGGTGGAAGGATTAAGACTTCTCTCTGGAAGTTCTTTATTTATAAGAAGCTAATCTCATTCATGATCATCTTGCCCTCACGATTTAAGCATCTCTCAAAGGCACCACCTCTTCATACCATTACATTGAGCAATACGATTTCACTATACCAATTTTGGGGGCCTCAGACCATAATACAGTTCAAATTTGCTATTTGCTTTCATTGAACATTTCTATTGAATTTTTCATTTCAGTTATTGTATTTTTCAACTCCAGAATTTCTATTTAATGACATAACATTCTCATAATTTCTTTTAATTCTTTAGACCTGGTTTTCTTTAGGTTTTTTAACATATTTATAATGGGTGATTTATTTCTTACTTTCCTCAAGAGCAGTTTCCATTGAATTTTACTTTTCTATTTATGGTCCATGCTTTTCTGGTTTTTGTGTGTCTTCTAATTTTTGTCAAAAACATGTTATAAATAATACAATGTAGCAACTCTGGAAATCAGATTCTCCCCTCCACAGGGTTTGTTGTTGCAGTTTGTTGTTTTTGTTATTACTGCTACTGTTTTGTTTATTTAGTGACTTTCCTGAACTAATTCAGTAAATTTTGTATTCTTTATCATGTATGGCCACTGAAATCTCTGGTTAATGTAGTGATTAATAAATAGACATAGATTTCCTTAAATCTTAAGCCAGTAATTTTTCCAGCATTTGCTAAAAGGTTTTTGTTTGTTTTGGACGTACCTTTTATTCTTAGGTAGGCAGTTTACAACTTTGCCTTATCTTTCCTTTACTTCCTGCTTACAGAGAAGAACCTCAAGGTAAGCCAGAGATGAGAGTAGAGGGCCTTTTTGGATTTTTCCTGAGGCTTAGCTCTCAGTGGAAAAAAAACCAAACCCAGTAAATTTATTATAATTTACGTGTGAAGTGATTAGCCATAAAGTTTATAAGCTGTTATTATGTTCCATATTACCCATGTTTTATTGTTAGTAGGATTATATAAGACATGCTTAATGAATTTTGAGGCCCCAGTAAAAGCTTTCAACAATTTGACAGGCGTCCAGCAGAAAAACACTGCTGAGGAAATATATCTTCTTTTTTTTTTTACTTTTTAAAATTTGTGTATTTTTAGAGAGGGGAAGGGAGGGAGAGAAACATCAATGTGTGGTTTCCTCTCACTTGCCCCCTACTAGGGACCTGGCCTGCAGCCCAGGCATGTGCCCTGACTGGGAATCAAACCAGTGATCCTTTGGTTGGCAGTCCAAGCACTCAATTTACTGAGCCACACCAGCCAGGACTGGAAGTGTATCTTCTGATATAGAGCAGACCTTAGCCAAATATTATGTAAGTTGAGATCTTTGCCTGATTTTAAGAGCCTAATAAGGGCTCTTAATTTAATAGATCATTAAGTATAGTGATTACAAGCTTGAATTCTAGAGCCAAACTGCCTGAATTTGAATCTAGACTTTACCTCTTTTGTGAATTTAGGCAAAGCACCTAACTTCTCTAAGCCTCACTTTTTTTATCTGTAGATAGCACCTTCCTATTGTGAGGATTCAGTTATTACATAAAAAGTCCTTAGATCAGTACCTGACAAGTAAAACGTACTACACTTGTACAGAAGTAGAGACAGTAGTTAGGTGAGTCTTGTTGAACCCATCTTCAACAGGTTTCGACACATGGACAATCATATTTTGTCTGTAACTCTACCCTCTCTCACTAAATATTTTGAAGCAAATATAAGACATACAATTTTATCTATAAACATTTCATTATATAATTTATAACAGATTATTTTAAAATGTTAAGTATACATTTGACTCTTTAAGCATGCAGGGGTTAGGGCCATTAACCCCCATGATGTTAAAAATCTGCATATAACCTTTACTCCCCAAGAACTTAGTTACTAATAGCCTTACTGATAACGCAGTCAATTAATACATGTTTCATATGTTAGATATTTTATGCACTGTATCCTTAAAACAAAGTAAACTAGAAAAAAGAAAACGATATTAGGAAAATTATACGGAAAGTATATTTACAGTATTATATGTGTTTATTGAAAAAAATTCATGTATAAGTGGACCTGTGCAGTTCAAACCTGTGTTGTTCAAGGGTCAACAGCTAAAAAACTAAAAGCCTTAATATTATCAAATTTGATTGGTATTTATTTCCTTAGTTGGTTATTTTTAATTACTTAATATCTCTTTGGTCACATTTGGTTTTTTTATTATTTTTTATTACCCTTTGCTCTTTGTTTTTTCTTTTATTTATTTATTTATTTATTTATTTACATGTTTACTTTACTGTTGTTCAAGTACAGTTGTCTCCATTTTTCACCCAGCAATCATCCCCCCTGCCCCACCCCTCCCTACCTCTCACCCTTGATCCTGTCACCTTTGGTTTTGTCAGTGTGTCCTTTCTATATATTCCGTGACCAGCCTTCCCCTGTTTCCCCCCATTATCCCTCTGTCCCCTCCCCTCTGGTTACTGTCAGTTTGTTCTTTATTTCAGTGTCTCTGGTTACATTTTCCTTGCTTGTTTGTTTTGTTGATTAGGTTCCACTTGTAGGTGAGATCATATGGTATTTGTTTTTCACCACCTGGACAAACACTCTCCAGATCCATCCATACATGCTGTCACAAGGGGTAGGAGCTCGTTCTTTCTTTCTGCTGCAGAGTATTCCATTCAGTAAATGTACCACACTTTTTGATCCACTTATTTGCTAATGGGCACTTAGGTTGCTCGGCTATTGTAAATTGTGCTGCTACGAACATTGGGGTGCATAGGTTCTTTTTGATTGGTGTTTCAGGGCTCTTAGGATATAATTTCAGCAGTGGAATTGCTGCATTGAAAGGTAGTTCCATTTTTTGTTTTTTGAGAAAATTCCATACTGTTTTCCTCGGTGGCTGCACCACTCTACATTCCCACCAGTGATGTACTAGGATTCTCATTTCTCCAAACCTCGCCAGCACTTGTTTATTGATTTGTTAGTGATGGCCATTCTCACTGGTGTGAAGTGGTATCTCATTGTGGTTTTAATTTGCATCTCTCTGATGGCTAGTGATGCTGAGCATCTTTTCATATGTCTCTGGGCCCTCTGTATGTCTTCCTTGAGGAAATGTCTGTTCAGGTCTTTGAGCATCTTTTAATTGGTTTGTTTCTCTTCCTGAAGTGGAGTCCTGCGAGTTCTTTATGTATTTTGGAGATCAAACCCGTCTGAAGTATCATTGGCAAATATGTTTTTCCCATGCATTGGTTCTTTTTTCATTTTAATACCGTTTTCTTTACCTGTGCAGCAGCTTTTCATTTTGATGAAGATTCATTTGTTTATTCTTTCCTTTATGTCCCTTGCTCCAGGGGACATATCATTGAAAATATTGCTGTGTGGAATATTGGAGACTTTCCCACCTATGTGCTCCTGTAGTACTATTATGGTGTAACAACTTATATTTAAGTCTTTTACCCACCTTGAATTTATTTTTGTGTATGATGTAAGTTGGTGATCAAGTTTCCTTATTTTGCATGTACCTCTCAGGTCTCCCTACACCATTTGTTGAAGAGGCTATTTTTACTCCATTTTATGCTTCTGTCCCCTTTGTCAAATATTAGTTGGCCATAGAGACTTGGGTTTATTTCTGGGCTCTCTATTCTGTTCCGTGGGTCTATGTGTCTGTTCTTATGCCAATACCAGGCTGTTTTGATAACAGCAACCTTGAAATACAGTTTGATATCAGGTATTGTGATCCCTCCTACTTTTTCTTCTTTCTCAAAATTGCTGCAGATATTCAGGGTTATTTATAGTTCCACATAAATTTTTGAAATGTTAGTTCTATATCTGTGAAATATGTCATTGGTACATTAATAGAGATTGGATTGAATCTATAAATTGTGTTGGGCAGGATGGACATTTTTATTATGTTAATTCTTTCAATCCCTGAATGTAGTACAGTCTTCCATTTGTTTTGTTTGTGTCTTTCTTAATTTCTTTCTTCAGGGTTTTGTAGTTTTCTGAGTACAGATCTTTGACCTCCTTGGTTAGGTTTATTCCTAAGTATTTCTCTTTTCTTGTTGTAGTAACACATGGGATTTTTCCCCTGATTTCTGTTTCTGATATTTCATTGTTGGTGTACAAAAATGCGTTTGATTTCTGAATATTGACTCTGTATCTGACTCCTTTGCCAATTCACTTATTAGGTTGAGTAGTTTTTTTGGTGGAAGTCTAAAGGGTATTCTATATACACTATTATGTCATCTGCAAACACTGACAGTTTTGCTTCCTCCTTTCCAGTTTAGATGACTTTTATTCTTTTTTCTTGTCTGATTGCTGTGGCTAGGACTTCCAATACTATGTTGCATAGAAGTGGTGAAAGTGGACAATCATATCTTGTTCCTGGTCTTAGTAGGAAAGCTTTTAGTTTTTGCCTATTGGGTATGATGTTGGCTGTAGAGCTTTTGTATATGGCTTTTATTATGTTGAGGAATGCTCCTTCTTCTCCCACTTTGCTGAGTGTTTTTATGATAAGTGGAAATTGTACCTTATCAAATGCTTTTTCTGCATATGTTGATATGATCATGTGATTTTTGTCTTTTCTTTTGTTTATGTGATGTAATTATGTTTATTGAGTTGCAAATATTGAACCATCCTTGCATCCCTGGGATGAATCCCACTTGATCATGGCATATGATCTTTTTAATGTACTGCTGCATGCAGTTCCTTTGGTCACTTTTAATCTAAAGGTTTCCACCTCCCTCTTTTTCCTCGAATCCTTATGGTCGTTTGTTGAATAAACCATCAAAGGCATTTGTCCAATGCAGCATACACAACCCACACATACATGTGGCTATTGAGCACTTGAAATGTGACTTTCCATTTACAGATATACTGTTAACTTAAAATACTAGGT